ATAAGGAAGAAGAGAATACTACAGGAGTCATCAGCATTTTGTAAGCTGAAATGAAGAAGGATTTAATAGGCCCAGGAAAGCCAAATCCAAACTTGGAAAAGAAGCCTGAACCTTGAAGAGACCCAGAACCAGGCTTGCCAAGTATCTGGTTAACTGGGTGGACAGAGAAAAGGCCCTTCAAGTTTGTAGAGGAAGAATAGATTGTAGACAAAAGATTATGGCTCAGAATGACCTTGGATTTTTTAATAGCACCAGTGGGAGCCAGAACACAACGGAGTGATATGTTCTGAAAAAAGAGTTTGTAGTTAAACTGGTGATAAAAATGAGCAGACAAAGCCAATGACAGAAACAAGTCAATTATTAACTCCAAGGCAAATGAAATGTACAGGAAAACATGGTAGTAGCCTATACAGCTCATTTGATGGTAGATTTACAGTAAAAAAAAATTTAAAAAAGGCCCATAATGAATATTGATCTAATCAAAATGACAAATATCTATACTGGGAGGTTGATGAATAGTGGTTACATATGGGAAGGGAGAGTGGGGAGGGTAGAGTACTCATATGTGTTTTTCGGGGTGTGTTGGGGGGAGGATTGGGTTGATGAGAAAGTTTATCCTCTCTTTCCATGATGAGAAATCACTAGAGAATGCCCAAACCTCAAAAATGAAGAAGTAGCATTATAAGCACGTTATTTAGAGAAAGTACAGTAAATACCAGAAGGATTGAAAGCAGTTTCTCTGGGATTGAGAAAGAGGAGGGGGTGGGGGAGGAGGAGCCTCAGGGAATTGCTGATTTTCATAACAAACCATGTAGAATTTTCCAACTTAAATGTTTTTTTAATTATGGGGCATATGTATAACTTTGGTTAAACACACACACACACACACACACACAATATACAAAAACCCCTGTGACTCATAGATACAGAAAATAAACTGATGGTTTCAGATGGGAGGGGGCTTGGAGGGCTGTGTGAAAAGGGGGATGGGATAGCCCTGCCAGCATGGCTCAGTGGTTGAGTGTCGACCTGTGAACCTGGAGGTCACGGTTCGATTCCCGGTCAGGGCACATGCCCGGGTGGCAGGCTCAATCCCCAGTGTGGAGCGTGCGGAAGGCAGCTGATCAAGGATTCTCTCTCATCATTGATGTTTCTATCTATCTCTCCCTTTCCCTTCCTCTCTGAAATCATTAAAAATTTATTTACAAAAAACGGGGGAGGGAGTAAGGGATTAAGATGCACAAATTGGTAGTTATAAAATAGCAACGGGGATTTAAAGGGAATATAGTCAATACTATTGAATAACTCCATATGGTGCCAGGTGGGTACTAGACCTACTGGGTGCATCACTTTCTAAGTTATATAAATGTCTAATCACTATGGCAAACACCTGAAACTCATATAATACTGAATGTCAACTGTAACTGAAAAAGGAAAACAAAGACAAAACCCTGTGATCAGCAGCCTCATATGTATATCTTTAAGATTTTAAAACTTGTTTTCCTAGAATAAATTCCAGAGGGGGGCTTGCTGGGTCAATGGGCAATCTTGACGCTCCCACAGCCGTAGTTCTGAGGAGTACACCAATCTCACCACCCGGTGACCCCTTCTCATTGCCAGGCCTTGCAAAACACCATGATCCGTTCTCAGATCTCTGCCAGTTTGATGATTTAAAAAAGGTATCATATTGTGGTTTTCATTTCTTTGACCGCCAAATAGTTTTACATAGTTAGTATATTTAACCATCTTTAGTTCTTCTTTGATGAATTTCCTGTTACAGTTCTTTGTCCATTTTTATCTTGGAGGTTAATCTTTTTCACTGTTGATTTGTGTAAAGACCTCTTAAAATAGTAAGCCTACTAATTCTTTGTCTATCATACATGTTACAAATATTTCCCCCTCCATGGGTCCTTCTGCTTTTAATTTTCTTTTTTGATGTGAAGGATTTCTCATTTTTATGTAGCAAAGTCTATCTTTTATGCTTTCTGTCTGAAAAGCCCTTGCTCGTCCACAGGCTTTTTCAAACACAGCCTTTCTGATGAGTTTGTCTAGTATTCACTTATGCCAAGTGTTTCACATTATAAGCTCTGAAATTGTAATGTGTTTACAGTCGCTGGTGCTCAGTGGGTCGGCATTGTCTGCCTTACACACATAAAAATGTGCAGAAAGCATCGGCAACTTGTAAAAACGTCCAGGAGGCAACAGTGGGGCACTCGTTACGAAATGCTGCATTATCGCCTGTTTCTTTTTCCTCTTGGGCACAAAGCTAGACTACACTTTCCAGCCTCCCCTGCAGGCAGTTAGGTGTGGCTGTGTGACTGAGGCCTAGTGATTGGACTGTGGGTGGGAGGGACGAATGGGGCTTCCCTGCTTGGCCCATAAAACCTCCCATTCCACCCTCGCCTCTCTTCTGGCCGCTGTCAGAGGACCTAGCAGACATCATAGGTGCTGGCAGAGCCAAAGGCAGGAGTCTGTGTCCCTGAAAGGCCACATGGGCAGTACTTTATCTTGTGCACTTTGCTTTTTTGGGCGGGCGAGGGGGGGGGGGGCACGGGGGGGAGGCATATCAAGTCTTGATATTAGAGTTGTTCTAAGTGTTTAAAATTAATTGGAAACATTTAAACTTTCCCCTAAACTCTGGAAAGGTTAAACAGCACAGGCATGAACTATGTGATACTTTGACAAGATTCATCTGAGAACTGCCTGTACCCTTTTGCAAGAGTAGAGCTTGAACAAGCTTTCCTTTTTTTTCTTTTTAAAATTAATTTTTAAGTGTTTATATTTTTAGAGCACTTTTAGATTTACAACAAAATTGAGAAGAAGGTACAGAGTTTTCCCATATAGCTCCTGCCTGCCCCCGCCCAGATAGCCTCCCCCATTATCAACATCCCCACCAGCACGCGCATTTTTAACCAAGGATGAACCTGCATTTACACGTCACTATCACCCAAATCCATGGTTTACATTAGCGTTTGCTCTTGGTGTTATATATTCTATGGGTTTGGACAAATGTATAATGGCATATATCTACCATTACAGTATCATGCAAAGTAGTTTCACAGCTCTTCCCTCCATATATTCATCTCTCCACACCTCCTCTTGCCCTTCCTTGGCAGTGATCTTTAAAAAAAAAAAAAAAAAAAAAAAAAAAAAATATATATATATATATATATATATATATATAATTGATTTCAGAGAGGAAGGGAGAGGGAGAGAAAGAAACATCAATGATGAGAGAGAATCATTGAGGGGCTGCCTCCTGCACACCCCCCACTGGGGATCAAGCCGGTGACCCAGGCATGTGCCCATGACCGGAATCAAACCCGGCACCCTTCAGTCTGCAGGCCGATGCTCTATCTACTGAGCCAAACCAGCTAGGGCTGTCAGTGATATTTTTACTGACTCTATAGTTTGCCTTTTCCAGAATGTCATAGGGTTGGAATCATACAGTATGTAGTCTTGTCAGAATGGCTTCTTTCACTTAGTAATATGCATTTAAGTTTCTCCCATGTCTTTTTATGGCTTGGCAGCTCACTTCTTTTTCAGTGCTGAATAATATCCCATTGTCTTGGATTACTACCGTATATTATCCATTAGCCTACTGAAGGACATCCTGGTTACTTCCAAGTCTTGGCCATGGTGAATAAAGCTGCTATAAACATCGGTGTGCAGGTTTTTGTGTTCACCTCAGTTTTCAGCTTGTTGGGGTAAGTCCCGAGGAGTGCAATTGCTGGATCCTATGCTGAGAATATATTCAGTTTTCTAAGCAACTGCCAAACAGCCAGACTTCCAAAGTGGCTGCATCACTCGTCACTTTGCATTCGCAGCAGCCATGAACGGGAGTTCCCGCTGCTCCACACTCCTGTCAGCACTTGGTGTTGCCGTGCTCTGGATTTTGGCCTCCTAACGAGTGTGCAGTGGTCACTCGTTTTAATTTGCATTTTCCTGGTGACATGTAATGTGGAGCGTCTTTCCATGTGCTTATTTGCAATTTGTATGTTTTCCTTGGTGAGCTCTCTGTCTGATCGTCTTAGGCCCATTTTTAACCGGGTAGTTTATCTTCTTATTGTTCAGTTTTCAGAGTCATTTGCATATTTTGAATAGCTGTCCTTTATCAGTCCTTTTCTCCTAATCTGTCTTCTGACTCTTTTGAATTGTCTTTTGCTGCCAATGTCCCTTAGTGGATGGACGGATATACCTGCAGTGGAATATTATTCAGCCTTAAAAAGGAAGGAAATTCTATACATTCTATGACATGGATGAACCTTGAGGATATTATACTCACCAAAATAATCACAAAAAGACAAACGCTGAATGACTGCACTTGTATGAGGCACCTGGAGTAGTCAGATACATGGAGATAGAAAGTAGAATGGCCCTAGCTGGTCTGGCTCAGTGGAAAGAGCATTGGCCCTCGGACTGAAGGGTCTCGGGTTCGATTCCGGTCAAGGGCATGTACCTATGTTGCAGGCTCGATCCCCCGCCCTGGGCAGGGTGTGTGCGAAGGCAACCAATCGATGTGTCTCACTCACACCGATGTTTCTCTCTCTCTGTGTCTCTTTCCCTTCTACTCTCTCTAAAAATCAATAGAAAAATATTCTCAGGTGAGGATTTTTTAAAAAAAGAAAGAAAGTAGAATGGTCGTTGCCAGGGTTTGGGGGTGGGGGCAATGAGATGTATTTATGAATGGGCATGGAATTTCAGTTTTATAAGAAAAAAGGGTTCTGGAGGCAGGTGGTGGTGATGGCTGCACAACATGAACGCACTTAATGCCACTGAGCTGTACACTTAAAAATGGCTGGTAAACGTTGTGTTATGTGTTAACCGCAATTTAAAAACATGTCTCTGGGGTGTTGTAGTTGCCAAGGCTGGGGACTTCCATGCCGCCACTTAGAGAACTGTGCCTAGTGGTTCTGAAGGCCCAGAGCCCTGAGGCCCCAGCTTGCTCCCTGGCCTCTCAGTGGGGGTAGGGGATGGGGGGCGGAGGAGGGGTGGTCCTTACCTGCTTTCTTCTCCTCCTGTCAGATACCAAGGAGAGGGAAGCGTGCGATGTCCGAGCTCCCTCCCCATCTGATGAGGCAAGAGGAAAATGAGAGAGAATAGAAATGTGGGCTTTTAAAATATAGAAAAAGAATTAAAAGAACAATCGACAATCACACTCACTGTTCCAAGATTAAAAACATTCTTTAGAAACAGGGCTTTATTAGCCGACAGGCTCCTGCATCGTGTGGGAGGGGAGGGAGCGGGTCGCGGGTGCTCTCTGTAGGGGGCAAGCAGGTGAAATGATTATGAAATATGTCAAATAAATGGTCCTTTTTTCTTCCGAGGAGATAAGAAAAGGTAATTTGGTCTGTCAGTCGCACACACAGAAGACGTCATGGTCAGCTGCATTAATACTGAATACTTTGTCCAGAGTCACAGAGCTCAAAGAAATTACAGAATCTTTCTCCTGTGAATTCTGGCATGACTCTCAGCAGACCTTTCCCACCTGAATTCACAAGAGAGATTAATAATAAAGGCAGGGTCCACAGTGGGGCCCAGAGCCCGCGGGGTGTCCTAGGCAAGGTGGCTGAGCCCAGCTGCTTTTCTCTTGCACCCGGTCCCCCCCACCCAGCTCACCTCTCCAGCCCCACCCACCAATGCCCGCTTCCTGTGTCCTGGTTCAGCCCTACAGAATCCTAGCTGATTCCTGTGGGTCACCTGTACCGCCCAGCCTCCGTCTTTGCTCATGTTCGCCCTTACCTGCACTGTCAGTGCCCAACGGGCCCAGCCGGTTCCAGATCCCGCTCCCCCTCCTCTGGCTGCACCAGACCCCCATGCTCGCTTCCTCCCGCAGTTGTATGGGAACTGTGTCCCTGCCTTCTTTCCCCTGACCTCCCAGAGGAGAGACTCACCTAGCTGCCTCCTGGATGGGTCCAGGCCAGGGCCTAGCTCTTATAGGCGGAAGGGGTGAGTTCAGGAGAGCTCTGCAAATGTTCTCTTTTATAACCTAAAGCAAGAGTTCAGGGCTGTGTGACACCTCCTTTGCCCTTAGTACTGAGCGCTGCTCCTTGGACTGAGTTTCCACTCAGTGGATGCTCTTTTCGAGAGATGACAATTCAGTAATTGCTAAAGTTACGAAGTCAGTGGACAGGTGGGGAACACAGGGTGTGAGGCAGCGGAGATACCCTATTAGAGTATATGGTGGATACATGTCATTACACCCCCGAGAGCAAACCCTAATGTAAACTACAGACTTTGGCGACTGCGACGTGTCATAGTTGGTCTGTCCTTGGTTAAAAATGATGCACTCTGGCGCAGGAGGCGGGCTAGGAGGGAGGCTGTGCACCTATGGGGAAGGGGTACATGGGAAATCTCTGTACTTTTTTCTCAATTTTGTTGAGAATCTAATACTGCTTTAGAAAAATAAAGTCTTAAAAAGTGAGAAGAGCTCATGAGCTAGAATGCCCATACCTCTCTTGTCAAAGCTCCCTCGCTCAGCCACACACCACGGGATTAAAGTTGGTAGTGTATTTAACAGACAATGAGCATCGAGCAAGGTCACAAATACATGCTCAGATCACAAGACAAGACACTGAGCAGAAACCCGCAACCGTCGGCAGCCTTGTGACGCCTGCCCGGCCTGGATACGCATCTGACATCGCCCGCACATGCCGGTGGCCACCTCTCTGGCCCCTCTGCTCTGCACAGGACACCCCCTCCTAGAGGCGGGTCACCGCAGGCGGGAGAACGGTGCGGGTGTGCCTGTGTTTCTCATATATTAAAAAATCCGTGTGAGGATGTCACTGGCATCTTTTTGGCTGTAAGACCTGAGTGACACCATTTGAGAAACATTGTTTTGGTCCACCCCCCACCCCGCAAGCATTTAGTCCAACCCTCTAGTTATACAGATGGGGAAACTGAGGCCCAGATATGGAAAGGGACGCTTTTTTTTTTTTTAAATGTTTGGGGTTTTTTAAGTTACAGTTGACTTACAATATTATATTAGTTTTAGATCTACAACATAGTGATTAGACATTTATATAACTTAGGAAGTGATCACCCTGATAAATTTAGTATACATCTCACAGCATACATAATTATCACAATGCTATTGACTATATTCCCTTTGCTACTTTTTAAAATCTTTATTGTTGAGAGTATTACAGATGTGTCCCTTCCCCCCCCCTTACCCCCGCTCCACCTGGATCCCACCCTGTCCCAGGCCTTCACCACACTATTGTCTGTGTCCATAGGTAATGCATACATGCATATAAGTTCTTTGGTTAATCTCTTCCTGCCCCCGACCCCCTTCCCTCTGGGATTCATCAATCTGTTCCATGTTTCCATGCCTCTGGTTCTACTTTATTCATCAGTTTATTTTGTTCATTAGATTCCTTGTTCGTTTTTTTTTTAGACTCAATTGTTGATAGATATGTATTCATTGCCATTTTATTGTTCATATTTTTTATCTCTTTTTCTTCTTTTCTTTTTCTTCCCCTTCCCCTTCTCCTTCTCCTTCTAGAATATCCATCAACATCTCATGTAATACTAGTTTGGTGGTGATGAACTCCTTTAGCTTTTTCTTGTCTCTGAAGCTCTTTATCTGACCTTCAATTCTAAATGATGGCTTTGCTGGGGAAAGGGACTTTTGAAAGTGATTTCAACAGCCAGGACTTGTCAGAGAACCCTGGTCAGACATTTTGGATTTAGTGAGATGAGGAAGATAAGAAGGCCTGCAGGTGGCGCTGCTTCTAAGGGGCTCAGGAACACTTTGGTTCAATCTCCCTTGACCTTGGGTTTCTGATTAAGGGTGGAGACATTGCTTTTCTTGACTTCAGAGATTAAGGCTCTACAAAGTTGTTATTAGAGGAAAACTTTAAACAAATTAAATGTAGTTCATCCCCACTTAATGGTACATCTATGAAAAGTGGTACATCTATGAAAAACTGCTGCTATCAAAAGTGACAGCTATGTCAACCAGAAGTATGGTGGACTGATGGTGTAACAGATGCTGCAATTACTGGCCTCCCTGTACTCACGCCCTTTACCCTGAAATTTGTAGTCCCTTCCACTCTGACTCTGGGCTGGTCTTGTCACTTACTTTGACCAACAGAATGTCACGGAAGTGAGACACGTGGCACAGTGCCCCTCCCTCCTATCACCAGGTGATCACCAGCCACAAAACACGTGAATGAGCCCATTTCAGACTACCCAGCTGACCACAGATGCTTAAACAACCCCAATCAAGACCAGTTGAGCCTGCCCTGACCAGGAGAACTGTCCACTTGACACAGACTCACAAGCAATGATCAGTATTGCTCTCGACCATGAATTCTGAGTTGGATTATTGTTCAGCAATAGCGGATGGATTCACAGGTATTGTTGAGGGGCCAGGGAAATAGTGGGAAAAGCGGGATAAAAATGTGAAGGGACAGGATGATCACTACCACGTGAGCTGAAGCTAAGAGACAGAGCAGCAGACCTCGCCTACTGCACTGTGGAAAACACCGGGTGGAAACACACCGACATCTGGGTGGTACGAAGGGATGGATGAGGGTAACTATTTTTCCTCTTTTGCAAATTCCCTGGGATGGTCTTATGTGACTTTTATAGAAATGCCTTTTCATAAAACGAAGTGCAGGCTGGTCGCACTCAGGACGCTCATGCTGGAGGCGGCCAGGGCCCATGGACTCCACCCAAACCTGGGAGCCAGCACCAGAACAAGCCCCTGCTATGGTCAGAGACCAGCTATTGACCAAAGGCAAACAAATGTTTCTTCACACTTTGACCTCCCCCCTCAAATGAGCAGGAACCCCACCTTCAGCGTTGGTCAAGGTTACTCAGCTAAATAGCAGGGGGGCTGGGGTTAGGGGAGGGTGTCTGGCTGACCTCAGGAGAGCAGGCCAGAGCTTCTTGGGCACCTGGTCCTCAGCACCCAGCCAGCCGGAGGACCCAGGCCATGTGGGGGATAGTGAGGACACCTCTATCGCCCCCAGTGCCGCTCACATGGTATCAGAACCCCACCAGAAATGGCACTGGAGTTCAGTTCTAATAGCCAGCCCGCCTGCCCCCCTGGCCTCTTATACATATAAATTGGGCGTGATCCCTTTGGGAACTGTAATTGTATTCATGGAGATTGCGCCATCTAATTTGAATATAGCAAACTGTACTTGAGAGATATGGCAGCTCTGGTGGCTTCTCCTTGCCCTCCTCCTGTCCCCTTCACGGCCCCAGGCCCAGCCGAGGGCACACACCGGGCAGGGCCATCTCGGTTCTTTCTGTCTCCACTGAACAGAGAAAAGAACCCTGGGGCTGAAGTCAGTTGAAATCAACAAAACATCAGACCACAGTCTGCATTCCACCTTGTGTTACTTAAGCAAATGACATAACCTCTCTGAGCCTCCGTCTCCTCAGCTGTGAGTGACAAGAGGGTTGGTTCCTAGGGTTGTAGGAGAGCTGCACCCCAGGGAACACACGAAAGCACCCAGCACAGAGCCCTTCTCAGGGGGCAGCGACAGCCCCGGTGGCCTTGCTGCCCTTCCCCATCCTGCGCCACTCAGGGCAGATCCGAGCTGTGAGGAGCGCCAGCTACAGCTAGAACAGCAGAGGGACAGTGGGGTGTGGTGTGGGACTGGCAAAGAGCCTGGGCACCCTCCTGGGCACACTGCGTCTGTGGCTCTCTTGCTCCACTTATAAGGCTGTCCTGGTGGCTTGCTGAAACACTCCATGTGGCCATCTCCACCCTCTGCCTCTGCCCAGTGCTGAGTGTGTGTGTGTGTGTGTGTGTGTGTGTGTGTGCGCGCGCGCGCGCGCACACGCATAGGGTGGGGGCAGGGCAGCAAGGCCCCAGTCTAAGCTCTCAGATCCCCCACCTTTGGGCCCCTGCTCCCTCTGCTGAAGCTCCATCTCACCAGCACACAGAATACCAGGGAAGTAGGGCTTGGCTGATGGGCCGGTTCCTCTACAGCAGTGGTTCTCAACCTTCCTAATGCCGCGACCCTTTAATACAGTTCTTCATGTTGTGGTGACCCCCAATTTCATTGTTACAAATTGAACATCATTGAAGCATAGTGATTAATCACAAAAACAATATGTAATTATATTTGTGTTTTCCGATGGTCTTAGACGACCCCTGTGAAAGGGTCGTTTGACCCCCAAAGGGGTCGCGGCCCACAGGTTGAGAACCGCTGCTCTACAGACAACCTGGCTTTAGACCTAGGTCGCTCTAGATGACCGGGACAGAAGCACAAAACAGAACATCTGAGCCGGAGCAGTCCCATCTGTCTCACTTCACTGCTCCCGTACTGAGCGGTATCCTGAGTCCAGAACTCAGCTCCTGCCTCTGTCCTGGGCCCTTCTTTGCATCAGCAGCTTTGAACCTGGCAGCTGTCAGAAGACTCGCCCTTCTTAGCTCAAAGCAGGAAAGAGTGGCTGTAGGCAGGGGAGCCAGAGGGCAGACCAGGCCATTGGTCCCACCTGGCCCACCGGGGCACAGGTGCCCCACGAGGGACTTGGCTGGGACATCCCTCCACCCCCGGGGAGGGCATGCTGACAGGTCTCCTCCTGTCTCGGCCCCCTTGTGCCTTGGAAAGGATAAACTGTTTGGCCTTTGGACAAGATTATTTTTGAATGGAACAGGATTGTTATCACTTAATGGAAAATAATTATCCAATGCAAATTAGCTCAACTGTCTGGCTGGAAATAAAGAAGTGAATATTTTGGGCGGTTTCACTGCTGCGAAGGCAGGTATTTTAAGTACATGGGGGTAATGAGAATAGGCTGGCCTCTGCCCTGTGGCTGGGCAGTCTGGTTCAGCCTGTTGTCTGAATCAGGGCTTCTCCCAATGGGCCTGTAATGGAGGAGATGGCCGGGCAGAGCCAGAGGCCTGTGGGGGTGCTGAGTGTGGCGGGGACACATGAAACCCCCGCTCAGAGGTTCAGCCCCCAAGGAATTTATCCTGACAGACGCAGGTCCTAGCGAGCCAGAGGAAAGGAGAGAGAGCTGCTGAT